TGTTCTGAAGGTGGGGGATCTTACTGTCTTCTGAATGTATCTGTGCAATTGGAAGCTTTTAGAGCTGAAAGGGACCTTGGATGCCATGCATTTTTTTTTTTTGAGAAGGACACTTAATTTTGTCTCAGTCCTCGCCTAGCACACGCCAGGATCCCATATGGGCACCTGGCATATGGGCAGCCCCGCTTCCCATCCAGTTTCCTGCTTATGGCATGGGAAAGCAGTTGAGGATGGCCCAAAGCTTTGGGATCTTGCACCCATGTGGGAGACCCAGAAGAGGCTCTGGGTTCCTGGCTTTGGATTGGCTCAGCTCTAGCCATTGCGGCTGCTTGGGGAGTGAATCATTGGATGGAAAATCTTCCTCTCTGTCTCTCCTCCTCTGTGTATATCTGACTGTCCAATAAAAAATAAATCTTCAAAAAAAAAAAAAGGACAGAAAAAGATACTGATCTAGGGGTCATCCTTGCGGCACAGCAGGTAGAGCTGCTGCCTGAGGTGTTGGCATTCCATATAAACAATGATTCTAGTCCCAGCTGTTGTTCCAGTTCAGCTTCATGATAATGTGCCTGGGAAGGTGGTAGAAAATGGTTCAAGTGCTTGAGTCCCCGCCACTCATGTGGGAGACCTGGATGTTGTTTCAGGATTCTTGTTTTGGCTTGGCCTAGCCTCAATGATTGCAGCCATTTGGGGAGTGAACCAGTGAACAAAACATCTTTTTCTGTTTTTCCTTCTCTCTGTGTAGCTCTACCTTTCAAATAAATAAAATAATTTAAAAAAATGTCCTGGAGCTGGTGTTTCATCAGGTTAAGTGACACCTGTGACACTGCCATCCCATAAAGGTGCCTGCCTGAGTCCTGGCTGTACCACCTGGAATCCAGTTCCCTGCTAATGGCCTGGGAAAACCAGTAGAAGATGACTCAAATGCTTGCACCTCTACCATCCATATGAGAGACTAGGAAGAAGCTCCTGGCTTTGACCTGGCTCAGCCAAGGCCATTGGAGCCACTTGAGTAATGAACCAACAGATGGAAGAACTCTCCTTCTCTCTCCTTCTCTCTGACCCCACTCCCAACCTGTTACTCTTTCAAATAAATGAGTAAATTTGCTCAGGATTTGCTCCTAGGTTCTTCTTCTAGTGTCAGGGTCACCGGTATCACTGGGAACCTTGATGCAAGTGCTTGCGATGTGTGTTATACCACACAGCCACCCCATAATGTGTCCACAGCAAAATATTTCAGCTGCCCCTATTATGGCAGCAAAAAGAACTTAAGATGTTTAATAAAGAAATGCGGGCTGCAGTTACCTCTTGATGGGTAATCATGCTTTCTCATTTGCATTTTAAGTGCTAGAAGACAAAGTGGCTTTAAAACTGCTTCATGACAGGACCTAATTATCTGATAATCAGTTCCAAAGACCACAGACACGGATGCGGAAACAGGACCCTCATGAATGATGACTGACGAGAAAAAGAGATACTGGTGGCATAAGAACATCGGAAAACGTAATTATTTATTCTTTCACCATTAATGAGAGAAATTGAAAATCAAGCCTTCCTTTCAAATATTTTTTTATCTGGATGAAACTTTAATTTTACATAACTAAATTGACTTCACGGTTCAATGTATTAAGATCTGCAATTAAGTAGCATATCAAGGTTAAACACCCACTATTGTTGGTTTATTTAGCTCCTAACCAAGAAGGAACACCTGCCCATCAACCATTATTCCCCATAGTCAGAGAGGGTTTACAGCTTGCAGGCCTGATTGCCCAAATCCAGACCAGGCAGTAAAGCTTTCTTGCATGTGCCAACTCCTGTACAGTTAGTTGAATACTGAAATGGTTTGCACTGCTCTTTTCTGAGCAGGCCATTGATTTTTTTTTTTGCATTAAAATAGTGTTATGACACTTGCTACTGCATACCTGATTACTTATAGAGGTTTATTCTAATATAACACTTGCATCATTGAAATTGCCATTTGTTGGTTAAGAGTGTCTTGGAATGCCTTTCTATCAATTTGCCGTCTCACAACTCACGGCCAGTTTTGGGAAAGGAAAGGTTATGAAATGTTGGGGGAGGCATTGAAGGGGACACTGAAATGGGATTAGGGGAGTTCACTGGGAGCCTGTCTCAGGAGATGGGTCCCTAGAGGTAGAGACTGGCATCTGTGTGCCTTCTGCTGGTTTTCCCTGCGAACAGCACCTGTGTGATGATTAATTTACGGCTCAGTCTCTGATATTCCCTTTCATCTTAAGACCTTGTCGGTGGAGCACGGTTCAACAATTAGAACTCAGTCCCCGTCTCCTCCCTTCCACTTTCTAAAAGTGGTGATTTTATTTTGATCTGAATTTGGGCAATACAGGGGTGGTGTTTGGGAAAGACTTGTGGAGCTAAGAAATATCCCTGCTGTCATGATACATGGGAAACCCAAGTCTATTTGGTAAATTATCCAGCTTACTGGGGGAAGTGAGTGGCTGGATGAGTTCCAAAAGAAGATGAGGACATGACATGAGATGAGCCTGAACTGGGGCATGTGCTAGATTTGCAGGCTTAGCCTCACTACGATGTTTTCTCACATTAAACCCCATCTTGACTGTGGAAGATAGCACGCATGACATGCACTTTTGCTTATTGCATGTACTTGTAGTCTATGAAACTGCTGTTTAATAAAAGTATGATCATGCACATAGCATACAAAATCACTAACTGATCTTCCCTCAAAAAAATCTGATTTCAATAGTTTCCACATGGAGTAAGTGTTGAAATAATACCAAACGCCAGAGCCTCTTTTGTGTACAACTGCACCGCTTCTCAGAAATAGAAGAGCTTGGTTACACTTTACACACAGTTCAGGAATTCTGTTCTAATATCATATAGACCCTATTGCATCACTGTGACAGGTGCGCCTGGCACAGCCCTGACCTCCGCTTGGGGTCTCAGGTGGAAGGATTTTGATATAGAAACCAAAGTGTGAGGGATGTAGCAACGTGGCCTGATGCTTGCTGTTGCTTTATCGGATCTATCTGACCCAACACAGAGATACAGCTGTGGTTATTCCTCCAGGTCAAGGTGGAGGAAGCAGTGGAGATCCGTGTAAGCAGAGAACATGGCAAACACAGCACAATCACAGCGAGATCACCACAAGCCTGCCACTGGCCTTTCTAGCCTCCTTCCCCATGGCAAGGTGTTACTGACATGTCGCAGAAGGGGCAGGGATAGGGTCTTTCGCAAAGGCCTAAATGGAAGGACTCAGGCATCAACCATCAGTGGAATCAACTAGGAAGAAGCATTTGTTGTGAACCTGTTGAAGCTGCTCTACAATCAGGGATAAACTCAGGAGAGTAAGTTGTCGTGCAAACCTGGAAGTCTGAGCTAGAATTCTTACTTGCTAAGTAACATAGGTCTCTGCTTGAGTCTTTCCCCTTTTATCTTTTATTCTTATTGGAGTTAATCGTGTGTGTGTGTGTGTGTGTGTGTGTGTGTGTGTGTGTGTGTGTGTTAGGGGTAGGGAGTTAAAAATTCTCAGTGTAACTGTTGACTCTATAGGAAATCAGTAACATTCCAGTTCATTAGTGGTGGTGGTGGGAATCAAGCATTTGCCAACAAAGTGGCCTTTCCTTTAATCTTTCCTTTTGGCAAGGTATCTTGTTCTGTGAGTCAATTGTCCTTAGCATTAAATTTAAAGAGAACTAGCCAGGGAACTGTGTGTATCCAGCGAACCACAAACGCAACCCTCAAGGTCGTTATTAATGAGTACAAGGGAAAAACACAACCCCTGTAGCAGAGATGAAGGTGTAATTATTACTTTTGTTACCTATTTTTTTTTTTTAAATCTGGGAATGAGGTGGTTTTGCTCCAAGGAAGTTTCAGCCTAATTTCCCTGTGATAGGGTTATTTTTGGTGTTTAGGATGTTCTGATGGAATTAATCAGGTCAATATGCGCTCTGTCTATAAACCAAGGAGAGAAAGGGCTCGTGGGTGGCTGCTGCTGTCCCGCCCTGGCACATGTTTCTTTCCTTCGGTCTACAAGCACAGTCAGTGATAACATAGATCCGAAGTCTGCTATGCTATCATTCCGTGTGAAATTCACGTGGGAATCAACACGTTTCTCTTTGAGATCGGTTGAAGTGGTGAAGGGTTTTTGAAATCAGCATCTCCTTGAAATAATAAGCTCAATTTCATAATTCAAGGATAGATTGAGTTCCCAATTAAGAAAGACTGTTAGAAGAAGGGGCTGCTCGACTGAAGGGGCTGATGTAAGCCCACGCTAGGAGAGGCAACATAAAACTGTCGCAGGGTTATAGGAATCTAAGTCGGTAACAAAACAGAGATGTTAGCATCTTATCCCAGGAAACTGGTTAAGAAGGTTGGACAGAAATGCAAAGATTCTTCTTGTATCATGGCTTGCGGGGACTCGGCCCGATGTGCTGTGTTTATGAATGAGTGTCTCATCAACAGCCCATATTCTAGCCGAGTTTCTTTGTGTTCCAGAAGGCAATTTCCTTGTGAAAAGAAAACTGAGGACTTTTGATTACCCAGATAACACATTTAAAATTCAACTAAATTGCTGACTCCTGAAACCTCTGACTGACTATTTGGGGCCAGTCTTACTCCTCTTTCTCCAAGATAGTGAGTTGGAATTCAAATAAGATGGTGGCAGATTATTTAATAAAGGTATTTACAGATGAGCTGAGAGATTTACCAGGCTTTTTTTTTCAAGCAAATAGACCAAAAAAAAAAAGAAAAACAATAACAATAACCACAACAACAATAAAACCCATTTTAGCCATGAACTCATGAACTCCTGATGGGTAAGCCTGATATCAAAGAAGGAGGGAAGAAGAAAATGCAGGTAAAGCATGATAATGGATTCAGGGGGCCTTCAAAAAGACAAGGAAGTGGAAGGTGGGCAAAGTCTGTTGGCCGGGCAGTCTAGAAAGGGCAGCAAATGAGAACCGCGGGGTCAATCTAAGTGTTAGGTGGGAAGGAGAGAGGGAACTTACCTTTGTTTTCTGCCTTCAGTTCCTCCGCCATCAAGCTGTCTTGTCGGTTCCCAAGCACAAACGCTAGAAACGAGAGGATAAGCGCATCCAAGATTCCAATAATAGCCAGAATGTACGCCCAGCGGACCGAACACGCTCCGAGCGTGTACTTGTCCGTCTTTTCTCCACACATCCGTTTTACTTCGTCTGAATCCCAGCCGTCAGGGAAGATCATACAGCCGAGCACAAGGCAGGCAGCTGGAAGAGAGAACGCAAGGAGAAGAGAAGTGAACAGATTGATTTTAGCAAAATAGTTCTGTTGCTTGTTGTATTCTTTCAAATTCCCCAAACCTCACCGTGACCCCTCCCAGAATGCGAAGTTAATGAGCATGCATGAGTGAGCGCGCCTTCCTGGTGAAGGTAGAGGCCAAGTTCAATCCACTGCAGCGAAAAGGATCCTGGGAGTGCACTTTATAGCAAGCTCAAGCATCCTGAAGATGAGCCAAAAGAAAACCTTAAGAAATTGAAGTTCTGTATGTACTGATGGGAAAGTTCCCACTGTGAACAGGCTGTAAGGAATCCTAGCATGGCAGGACGACAATTCAAAGCTGGCTTTGAAGAACTGTGACAGCAGGCCGATAAGGGACTTGGGATAATAGGGGAAATATCACAGTGTATATCTTGACTTTGAATCACAGCAGAAATAATTTGATGTGGCTACCTTACCCCCATACACGAGAAAAGTTTCTTGAAGCTATGTTTAGGATGTGCAGTGTGGATTTTTTTTTTTTTGTATTCTACTTCTCACTCCAAATCATTTTCTAAAAAGACTTAACCCAGCTCAATACCACAGAGCTTTTATGGAAAGTAAGAAACCTAAGAGAATTCTTACATTCTATTTCCCAGTATCAGTGTGGGAATCATATACAAATTTTTAATAGGAGCATGCAATCTTAAAAATTGAGAAAGAAGAGCAACTTTCATTGTACTTCCTGTGTTTAACTGAATTAATATGGGGGCAGATGATCACATTTTGGGGGGCTATATAGAGCTTTCTAAGCAGATGGGCTAATTCAGCAATTAATTATCCATTCACTCATTCATCCCTGCGCTTCTTCCAGATCTCCCACACGGGTGCAGGGCCTCTGCTGGTTTTTCAGGCAGGAAGTTTAAAAGGAAGTGAAACTACCAGGTCTTGAGTCGGCGCTCCTATGGAAAGCTAACATAGCAGGCAGAGGCTTAATTCTCTATGCGGCAACACTTGCCACTGGAGCAATGTTAAAATCCAACTAAAACAGGACCAGGGTTGTGGGGTCCTTGTTAGGATTGCACAGAAAGGATTCTCCAGCTCCCTTTCAGGCAACAGGGCATTGCAGATATATTACAGGTTCTCCAGCCACTGCTTGGTGGTTTGTTCTTAATGGGAAAGACTTGATCCCTTAAAATTTATCTTGAAAATATAAATGGTTGCATAAAAAGATTTTGCAAGGTCTAACAGAAGTTTTATCTTCTGACAATGTGTTATCAAAATGTATATATATATATATTTTTTCTTCCTATCCAAGCATCTATTTGGTAGCTTTGGTTTGTTTTTACAAAGAGAAAAGCTTCCAAACGTTAGCCTGTTTCCTTTAAGCTATTAAAACACTCCAGGCTTTGCTGGTTTCATTGGCAAGCTGTGACCATTATGTTCAGCACCAATGCTTCAGCGCAATAATAAATTCTGTCTTCTGGCTTCTATTACCCAGAACCTTATTTACCTGCACGGTTTTGATAACAACTGGAAGCTAACAGCTGCTCCTACTAAGAAATAGCTGAAAAATCTGAGGCTAATGTTTCAGTCAATGAAAGATTAGATAATATACCTCTTGGCTTTAGAATGAATCATTTCCAGGTCTTTACAAATTGATCATTCCTTATGAGACAGAGCTATCATTACAATAAACATTAGGGTATACATACACCGGAATATTTGATTAATTTGGAGACACTACTTCCTGATCACAGGGATAGTGGAGAATTCCTTCCAATTGGGCTATTATCCAGGAATGGGTTTCTTATTAGAATGTCACCTAGGAAATGACTAACTTCCTCGCATCTGTACACTCCTTCACTTTGGCAGCAAGTTTCCTGAAAGGATAGCCAAGAACATTCTGGAATGGTACAAAGGGATGACAGCTCACTTGCTGGAGGTCAGCAAAAAAAAAAAAAGGAAATGATGAGAAGAAACCCAATGCCTGACTTTATGGCACAGTCATACTCTGCTGCAGAGGATACAAAGGTGTCCTTGTTGATGGTGCACCGTGGCCTGCCATTTTAAGTGTGTTCCAAATGGCTAGGAGGCATTTACATTCTCCAAGGAAGCTCTGTGTGGAGGCTGGGGAAGCCGACAGTGGCGCCCTCTGAAACACCACACAAATGGCTTATAGTTCCCCAGAGCCGCTAATTGCACCAGCATTTTTCTTACTAAAGAGCTGAATGTAATCCCTGTGGAGGCAACATCTTTAGAAAAATCCACAAACCTTTGTAATTGGGTCTTTCTCCCAAAGAAAATGAACCAAGATGGAAAAAAAAAAAAAAAGCAACAGGGGGTCTATGGCCTGAGCTATTTCGACTTGCTGACATTACTGGTCCAACTATGCCTGTCGAGGCTTTTATGCTGTGAACTTTGCGAACTTGAGACTTTTTTTTTTTGAACAGGAAAGAAAAGGGAAAGTCATCCTTTTTAAAAGTCTAGGCACTGTTGCACAAAGAGAACGATAAATTGCCTTGTGTTGCTGAAGCACTCAAGGGGAACGTGGTGGGGAAAAAAAACAAAACAGGACGTGCATTTGTGGAACTCTGCAGAAGCGGTCAGGCTGTGCAAAGTGAACGTTCACGCGGGGGTAGGCACTCTAAGGACCCGGCAAGAGAGATGCAAAACCATCTCTGCCATCTCTTCATCAGTGCATGGCTGACAAACTGTTGCCCTGACAGTGGTACCTCTGGGAAAGGTACCTGGTTTCATGCCTCAGCTGACTTCTGGAAATGGAGTTATCTTAAGACGACAGAGAACAGGGAATACTGTGGCGTCGAATGTAGCACAGAATTGTGTCCTGGCAAATGTTGGTGTTAAGCCCAAAATGATTCTATGAATATTTAACTGATAATGATAACACAAATGATTTACATCTCTTGGAAAGGGTCGGGGGAGGAATGGAAGAGGGCTGGAATTTGATCTAGTTGGCTAGGATACCCACGGCTCACGTGGGAGTGCTTGGGTGTGATTCCCAGCTCGGGCTCCTGATTCCCGCGCCTGCTGTTGTAAAGCATCTGAGACGACGGTGATGATTCAAGTCATTGAGTTCCTGACACTCCTGGGGAGACCTGGATGGAGTTCAAGTTCCTAGCTTCAGCCTGACCCACTTCTGGTTGTTGCAGACATTTTATGGGGAGTCAAACAGTGGCTAGAAACCCTCCCTGCCTCTCAAATACATAAAACATAAAGAAGAAAAGTGGGAGGAAGAGAAAACAGAAGCAAATATTGGGCTCTCAAAAGAGAAAAGTTAGACAGTCATGTCTAGTGACACGAAAAGGCTCTCTCTTTTGCTGGAAACTCACCCCCGCTTTGTCTGAGTGAAGGGAGCTGTGTGAGATTCCTGTGTGCTGAGTCAGCCCTGAAAACCCAGCTTAGGGTTCTAAGTGGACTATTAGGAGCCCACCCACAGCTGCATGGGTGGGCTACAGAGTCAAGTGCAGAAGCCTCTTTTACCAAATATGATTTCAGACAAAAGGAGACATAGTTATAAAACACCACCTACCCATTTGCCCAAAGTTTGAGGGTGAACAGCTGAATATGAGAGAAATCAGAACTTCCATAGAATTTTTTGGCATGTGTCATGGCTCTAGTCATGTTCCTCAAAGTCTTGATAGTGGTTTAATGAATAACACACATCATTCTAATAGCTAATGGCTGTTGAACACTTACTATGTGTATGGAACACGCTCTGTGGATTTTTACCTCGTTTAATTCTCCAACAAAGGAAAGAGAAACCCAAGAACACTTCTCTGTGACTCCTGAATCCTTTCCACCAAAAGGATGTTTTTCATCCACTACCCAGCCTCTTATCTCATTCCCGATGTTTCTCCAAGGGCGTTTGGATGAGTACTTTAAAGCATGCATGGGGCACAGGAACTGGAAACACCCTCCAAAACGCTTCTGGCGTTATCTTCCTGTTTGTCCACACTGGCAGGCATGGGATCTACTTCCTGGTGTTGCACCTGTTGCATCAGGCCATTGTCACCAGGACTGGAACTCAAGGTGTATAGAGATGGACTCTTTTTTGTTTTTTTCATCTGTATCATTATCCCCTGACTATAAGTAATGAATATGCCTACAAAATAATTTTAGAATATTGGTGACAGTGGCCAGCATCGTAGCACAGTAGTTCAACCCATAATTTGTGATGCTGGCTTCACATGTAAGAGTGTCTGTTTGAATCCTGGATAATTGCACTCCAGCTCCCTGCACTTGGGATAGGAGCAGGTGATGATCCGAGTGTCTGAGTCTTTCCCATCCATGTGGGAAGTCCAGACGGGGTTCCAAGCTTCTGGTTTGAGTCTGGCACAGACCTTGCTGTTGCAACCCATTTAGAGAATGAACCAGTAGATGGAAGATTCTCTCCTCTCTCTCTCTTTCTGCCTTTCAAATAAATAAGTAAACACACAAATGAATAAGTCTTTTTAAAAAGGAGAATATTGTTTATAGTATTAAAAAGATTTATAGAATTTTCATGTTGCTTATTGTTATTATTACACATTTTTCTTTGAATGTAAGCACTACTACTAATATTACTCAAAAGCTTGACTTATTTAAGTATAAATATTGCTTTTGTTTATAGTAAAACTTTACCTAATTAGAATATCATTTTGTATGCAATGCCAGGAATGTTAGATTATTTATAATTTCAAAATCTGTGGAGTGGAAATTAATGAGATTTTGTTATATAAAAAATATATACATATAGTAGGCTATATCTGATATGTTTGGTTTTGGTATACATTTCACAAGCAAAGTCATCCTCACCCTTTTCCTTGGCCTGCTATTTTAAGTTGGCTATGTGTTGGATATTTTTCTATGTTTTTTAAAATGATATATTACTTTGAATATTTTATTTTCATAATATAATATATGGGTTTCAAGAAGTTTTAGAACGAAAATAAATTTGCATTTTCATTTCATTTTACATGAACTTTTTGAAGTTCTCGTCTGTGTACCT